ATTTTTTTGGCAGAGATTTGAACCCAGGGCCTTGAGCTACATCCATGGCCATGCATTTATATAGAAACAAGGTCTTTTGCTCTAATATGCACAGGATGGGCTCAAATTTGCCATTATGTCCCTCCATAAAATACTTTGATGGAAATTGACAAGCCAATTTTAAAATTCTTAAGAGAAAATAAAGAGCCAACAATAGCCCTGATAAGTTTTGCTTTTATGGTCAATAATACCTTTATAGAAATACTAAATGACAAGCCAGAATTCAAGAGGCTGAGGCAGGAGAATTGCTGTGAGTTCAAGGCCAGCCTGGGCTACATAATGAGTTCAAGGCCAGACTGAACTGCATAGCAAGAACCTATATTAAAAAAAAGAAAGAAAGAAAGAAAAAGAAATGAAATGAAATGACAGTTACTCTACAGATAACTTCATAGAAATGCAAATCTGCAGTTGACACACTAGTTTCACTCAGAAAATTAACAAAACATTAAATCATCAAGCTGTGGCTTCTCTTAACTAAGTAATGCATTATTGAGGAAAATAAACAAATCATCAGAAAATTTATAAATTAGATGTTTTAAAAAGGTATAAATATGGCATAATGATACATTAAATATTGTATCTATTCAGTCTGTAATTGTGTACTTTTATTTAATTACAATCAGGCTGGCATTACATTAATTGATACTATTTTAAGCAGCATGCCTAAAAATGATAAAATTGGAAACCCTCAATTTATGAGTTTAGTATTTTGAAATTTTTGAGTACTAAGTAAAAACTTTTCAAAATTATCGATTGAAGATGTACTAAAAATAGAAAAAAATGGGCTACCCTTCATACACATAAGGAAAATATTTGTCTTCTCAATCTTTTTTTTAGAAATATGTTTGTACTATTGAAATAAGCCAGGAAAAAAGATGGGTATCACCCTTACATTCAGATTGTCAATAAATTCCAGTTTTAATAGCATCTCAAAATAAAGCTAAATTCTAAGAAAGTATATGTATGAATTATATGTATACATGTACATATAACGTATAGAGGGTACACATATAGTCTATATATATATGTGCACATACATATAAATGTGTGTGAATGCATATAATTTATATAACTTGGAACAAACACACTTGGATATTATTATCAAAATTCCTTGCCCAATAAGACATCACTTTTTATTAACAGTCCAGAATTTGTTTAGCATCATATTGGATATTTGAATATCAAAACAATCAACTTTTTATTCTCAAGGATAATGCTATTAAAAGATGACCTCTAGCATCAGTGGGTCATAATTTTTTTACTTACAGAACAAAAACTTTTGAAATTTCATGTGGAACTTATTATTTCTACACATATTTCTATATGTTTCTACAAATAAGAATAATTAAGGCACATGGCATCCTTGTATGTTAGTATATATCCACAGGTTCTTAATATGAGACCATCTGACTGGCAGATGTACTTATGATTTTAAAAGAAAACACCCTGACACTTGGAAAAACTCTGTCCTAAGTCCTATTTCCGCTATTGCTGCTGAGTAGGGAATACATCTGCAGTGGGAAGAGAGATTTATTAAAGTAATGCCGGTTGTGGACTTTTCCTGTCTTCTAAAATTAGGAAGTCAGTGGAAGAACTGCAAGTGAGTATAACAGGTGTAAGAATGGAGTAGAAGGGGCAGGAGACTGGAACACCCCACTGCCACTGTCCTGGGAGACACTGTGCTGGGGTCTGGTAGTGATATGCAGGTTGCTGATAAAAGGGCTGAGCTACCATCACAGAACTAGACAGGCAACGTGAAGGGGACAGAAGTTATTCCTGGAATATGAAAATAAGCCACGCTATGATGGTAAATGTAGGCTATCGGGGTAGACACATCCTTCCAGCAGCTGGCATTACACCAGAACGAGAGATCCCTACTTGCTGCTTTCTTATTGCTGGGCCAATATTCAGTTTCTTATCTTTATAATTAAGTTTTTCAGGCTCTTGCAAAGTTTCTTGTGCACCTTCTTGTGTTTCAAAAGTGCCACCACCACACCCCTTAGCCATTGCAGCTGTTATTTACAATCTTCACTTCTTTCACAAGCCCACACTGGAGGCAAAAAGTTCTTAAACTGTTTTCATTTTTAAAAAACAAATCATTTTCATTTGTCTTAAAGTCAATTTCTCTGACAAAGATGCGATTGGGTATTATGGTTTCGTATGTCAGAGCACTTGTTGGGTTATCCAAAGGCACTCATGAATAGAGATTAAGGGTTGGAAAATCTTTGTAGCACTGCACCACAACCCGGACGCGCCCCCTGGCGGCCACAGTGATTAGGTCCCATGCCAACCGTGCTAAGTTTTTAAGAGGAAAGTGAAGTAAAAATTTATATTGAACTGGAAATATAGCTCGGTGGTAAAGCACTGGCCTCGCATGTATGAGGCCCTATGTTTGAAATACAGCATAAACAAACAAACAAGAAACCAAAAGCAACCCACACACGAGAAAAACTACAATCATATCCATATCACATATCATATATAAAAACTCCAGATAGATTAGACTTAACATAAGAAGAAAAACTGCAGAATTTTTAGGGGACAAAAAAAGGAGCCTATTATATCTGTGTAGGGGAAGATTTCATCAATAAGACAACAAAAACAATTTCAAAAAAAACTCACTACCTTAAACCCAGTGCGGTGGTACATGGCTATAATCCCAGTACTCGGGAGGCTGAGGCAGGAGGATCCTTGCAAGATTGAGAACAGCCTGAGCTACACAGTGCGCTCAAGGCCAGTCTGAATTAGAGTGAGACTGTCCCAAAAAACAAAACAAAAAGTTGCCAAATAACTTATTCCTTTATTTTAAAAGGTGATTGTGTATGTGTTTTTATAGTGATGGAGAATATTCTTTTATTTTAGATGCGTCTGTGTTATACAGATTGTCAGAATAAGAATGAATAATTTTGTCATTTAACTGCCTGAAATATAAACAAAACAAAACAAATAAATAGTCAAGCAAAAAAACACCTGCCATACATTAGTCTAGTTGGATAATAAAATCCCCTCATTATTGGTTTTTATTTTTATTTTTTTGAGACTGGGTCTTGCTATGTTGCTCAGAATGGTCTCAAACTCAGTGAGCTCAAGCCTTCCCAAGACCTAAACCCATAGGTCGCACAATCACACCTACTTCAAATATCAAAATGAATCAATATTTTTTTGTCTTTTTCATTTTTATCGGTACCAGGGATCAAACTCACGACCGCCTGCCTGCAAGGCAGGTACTTATGCCGCTGAGCTAAACCCCCAGCTCCTTGAATCAATATTTTTAAAAAGGCAAGAAAATCACAAGAGTGTATCAGCCAATGGCTGACTTGTAAAACAAGTGAGTTCAGAGTTTGGGAAAAGAAAAAGTATACCTGAAATATCTATATTTATACATATATCAAATTATTATCTTTAGTTATCTATACTAGGGATGGTAATAGAAAAATTCGTATCCTCTTTATGCCTCTATGCAATGTTTCCCAGTTATTAGTATGCACAATTTTGATTTTTAAAATAATTTTAAAATACAATTATAAATAAAAAACAGGTTATTTCATATCCCACAAATAAAAAGAAGAGGAAACAAAAAAAGGCAACTTTTGATTACACCTTTTGATTATGGTTACAGCGCAGGCTCTAGAATCAAAAACCTGTGTTAAAAAATGCTGGTTGCACCCTGTGTGACTTTGGGCAACAGTCTAAATCTAATTTTATTGATTTGTAAAATGATATCAGCCTGATCAGCTTGCTGTGGAGACTAAATAATGCAGATAAAGCACTTAATGCAGGGCCTGGTGGTCATTTGGGATGAGTAACAGATGAACCAGGAATGCTGATAACTTTTCCAATTTTCTTATTCGTTAGCCAGTCAGAAAACAAATGAGGCAGACCGTAAGTCAAAGGGAGTCAACAGTCATTCAGCCAGTATTATCTCTAGAAAAAGGCAGGGCTGCGGCACTGAGAGATTGTAGCTGTTATTCAGTCAGGCCCCTTTCTGAGGCATCTTCCAAAAGGGAGCTATACATCCAGATGGATTTTAAAAAGGTCAAGTTCTTAAGTTCTTAAGAATGGACAACAGGAAGTTGCTATTGAAGATGATGGAGCACAGTCTTTTCCCAGTTTACCTCAACCAACAAAAGCACTCTCAGGTAGGAAGTTTCCAAAACTGCCGAAATAACGTTCTTTCTGGGGCGTAGTGACACACCCCTGTAATCCCAGCACTCAGGAGGCTGAGACAGGAGGATCACTGCTACTTTGAGGCCAGCCTAAACTACATGGTTGAGTTCAAGACCGGTCTGAACTACATAGTAAGATCCTGTCTCACAAAACAAGCAAATAAACACCACCCCTCCCCCCAAAAAACCCCACAAAAACAAAAAAAGAACGGTCTTGTGCCTTAATAGCACCCACATACACACGCCCAATCACAACTGCCCTTCTCAGCACCGTCCGCCTCTCCCTCAGAGGGCTCACTTTCCGTCCAGTAGTTCACACTTCTTTCCTCTGTCCAGTTCTGTCACCTGCCACAGAGTCCCGCGCCTGTTAAATATGCTTTCTTCTCTGCTTCACACTCGCTTCCTCAATTCCACACCCTTTGCTCTATTACTTCAGTTCCTCCACTTCCACTTCACTGGAAGCATTCTGCCTCAGTTTCCCCCCCCACTCCATTTCAGAGACCGCTCCTCTGCGGTTCCTTCGCCTCTACAGGGAGTTTCCCCGGCTTCCACCTCAGTTTCCTCCTCCCCGCCTCTAACCACACCTTCCTTGCCCAAATCCTCGGGGTTTGGCCCTACCCGTCTGCTCCTGGGTCAGCGCCCCCAGGCGGCGGATGCCCTCTTCGTCCAGATCCCACTGCTCCGCCATCCCCGCCCACCGCTCACCTGACGGCCCTCGAGACTGCCACGAGCACTCTAGGCCCCGCCCCGACTGGCCCCGCCCACCGTCCAGGCCCCGCCCACCCGCCTCACCCCCCAGCGCCGACCCCCGGCGCCGCGTTTTCAGAGTCCGTTAGGGACTGCTCACTCGCCTGTTGCCCCGCTGCAGGAGTAGCACCATGGTATGGCTTCACCTCTGCAGGGGAACACCAAAGCCACTAAAAGGACGACTAAGAGGAGCTGGAGCCCAGGAGTAGGACTGCAGGGTTAGGGTTCTCACTTCGAGGGGGTTGAGGGGGATTGGAGGTGACCTCAAGTTGAAAGGACATGGCGGGCTAGCTCTGAGGAGTTGGAAGAACGTGCTACCTTGAGGGTTGAGGGGCTCCAGCTCTGAGGATTTGGGGGAGGCCAGGTCTGGGGTGCACCTCTGAGAGTCTTCATATCTCAGCGCCGGGGGTTTGGGGAATACTGGCTTTAGAGCAAGGAGCGCGGGTGTGTGCCGAGGAGAATCTTGATCCGAAGATTGGGAATGGAAGCAGATTTCGGAGAAGTGATGGGGGGGGGTCCTGATTTGAAAAGTTGGGCAATTCTGTTCTGAAGAATTAAGATCTTGTCTTTAAAGCACAAAATGGTGCCAGCTCTAGATCTTGACGTGAAAGACGTTTCTTTGGGGCGCGGCAGGGACCAATGTGGAAAAGTGATGCTCTTTGGGCTGGGGGATGACATTTAAGACTGCCACATTTCTTGCAGACAGTCTAGCAAGAAGCTGGATTGTCCTTTAAAGTACCATGCCCGCTCTCCCTTAACTGTGACAGAGCTCTCCCCGGGAGGTGCGGGGGGGTAGCTCTGAAGTTATCAGTCCCTGAGCAGTCTCTGGGGAAGAAAGTTCTGAAAAGGACAGCAACATCCCTAACCTCTACCCCCACTCCAACAGGCATCTCTTGAGAGTCCCCTTGTTAATGGGACACATGTGTAAGAAGGAGGCAAACTTTGGAGCCAGAATTCTGTCATACTCAAGCTTTAATAAGAAAAGAGACACAGAGTCCAAAATGGGGCCTCATCTTTAAGGAGCAGATTTTCTTTTCAATCCAAATCTGCATACTCTGAGCACCTCCACTGAGCTCTAAACCTGCTTGTTACTTTTAAGGAGAAAGGACACATCAAGAGTCCGCATGTATTTATGATTTCTCATACTGATCGAGCCATTTGTCATGTCCAGCCTTAGCCACATTTAAAAAGGGTGGAACGCGAAATCCTAGGCTAGCTCATTCATTGGATGGTTTTCCCAGCACTGCTTTTGAACGCTGACAACGCCATTTTACAATTTTTCATCTTTCTCTTCATGCCCCCTAGAGGCCATGTAGTTTCAAATGTGGCATGTATAATCACTCATTTTAGATGTATCTGAATAATTAGATCAGATTTACTCTAGAAAAAATGGACCCTATGTCCTTTGTTATGGAATTTTCCCTCCTCAACTTGTCAAAATCAGAGGGGTAAGATTTTGTTGGAGAAGGAGACTTTTCCTCTCTTGAGCAAAAATCCCTTTGTCTATCCTCTGCCTCCAACATAACATTCTAAACATTCAGAAAGATTTAAAGAATTGTGCAGCAAGCACCTACATTCTGTAATTAACATTTTGCTATATTCTGTCACGTTTATCTACCATCCGTCCATCAGTCCATCTTTTTTACTTCAAAATAAGTGACAAATATAAGTACAGCACCCCACCCAGTCACTTCAACATGCATACTTTTTAATTAGAATTCAACATTGTTTTATGGTTCTTTTCCGTGTGTGCGCGCACGCGCGCGCGTGTGCGTGTGTGTGTGTGTGTGTGTGTGTGTGTGTGTGTGTGTGTGTTACTGTAGACTGAACCCAAGGGTACTCTACCACTCTGCTATATATGAAGTTCCTTTTTATTTCTTATTTTGATACAGGGTTTTGCTAAGTTGCCCCAGTGGCACTCAAATTCATGATCTCTCTGCCTCAGTCTCCCACAGTACTGAACAGAATCCCGGGTTTGCACTGAGCTACATCCTCAGCCCTTTCCTTGATTTATTTTGAGACAAGGTTTCACTAAGTTGCCTAGGCTCCACTCAAACTTGCAGTCATCCTCTTGCCCCAGCCTTCCAAGTGCTGGGATTACAGGCATGCATAACCACATTCAGCTAATCTGCCACTCATAAAAATTTTTTGACAAGGGTAGTACTCATTGATTATTTTAAAATCTGATACAAATGGCTTAATATGTTTGATGAATTTCTTCTTTTCCATGGTGTGGATAATCTAGGCTGTCTTGGAGCAGAGTAGACAATTCACTTATGAATGTGAATAGATGAACTAAGGAAGGTTAATGATTGTTGTTCTATGTAAGTATGAAAAGGCATCCACAGCATTTGACCACCAATGATGTAAGGTAGGACTATGAGAGAGCTCTGCAGATGCTCAGTGAGATGTAGATGGTCTCATCAAAACTCTTTTTAAAAACTTTATTGAGATATAATCAATATGCCATATGATTTACCATTTTAATATGTACAATTCATTGTTCTTACTGTGTTTATAGAATTGTATAACCATCACCACAATCAATTTTTGAACATATTAATTTTCCCAAAAAGGAAATTCCTAACCATTGGGCGTCACATACTATCCTTTCCCAACCTCCCCATCTTAGGCAACCACATTTGCCTATTCTGTACATCACATGTAAATAGAATCATATATTTTGTGATTTTTTGTGTGTTTGACTTCTTTTACTTAGCATAAAGTTTCAAGGTTTACCCATGTGATAACATGTATCAGTGTTTTTTTTAATGACAAATCATATTGCCTTATGTAGATATATTTTAAAATTCATTCATAAGTTGATGAACAAATTAAATTGAACATAGTGTAAGATTCCAAACCCAATTCCCCTTAGTTATATGGTCCTCCTGCACTGTTTTTGTAACTCTGCCTTTGTAGCAAGTTTGAAAGTGGAAAGTATAAATTGTCAAACTTTATTTTCCTTTTTAAAGATTGTTTTAGCTAATGTGGATTTGTTGTATTTTATTTATTTATTTATTTGTTGTATATTCTTTATTTAAAAAAAGAAAAAACAAAACAGAAAAAAAGGTAGAGTAACACAGAATTCAAAAAAATCAACACTAAGAAATCAACAAACAATCAAGTTTTGCAAAAAAAAGGCAGTGGATAGGGGCTGGGGATTTAGCTCAGCATAAGCACCTGCCTTGCAAGCAAGCAGTCGTGAGTTTGATCCCTGGTACCGATAAAAAGGAAAAAGACCAAAAAAAAAAAAAAAAAAAAAAAAAAGCAGTTGAGATTTCTATAAGGATTGTGTTGAATCTGCTGATCAAATTAGAAAGTATTGCAATATTAACAATATTAAGTCTTCCACTCCATGAACGTGAGATGTTTTTCTACTTACTTAGGTCTTTTAAAATTTCTAATATTTTGAAGGTTTTAGACTCTTATACTTCTTTTGTTAAACTTACTCATAATTATTTCATTTTTGATACTTTTGGAAATGGAATTATTAATTTCAGTTTGGATTTCTCATTGCTAATCTATAAAAATTTTTTTAAAATATCAATTTGCATCCTTCAGGCTTTGCTGGACTCATTATAGTTGTTTAGTGAATTTCTTAGGATTTTTATATAATGTACAAAATTATGTTATTAACAAGCAGAGATGGTTTAATTCTTACTTCCCAATCAGGATGCTTTTATCTGTTTGTTTGCTTTGAGGATCTCACTGTACAGTGCAGGCTGGCCATGAATTCACAATTGTAGCTCATGCTGGCCTCGAACTTGCAGTCATTCTCAGTTCCTCAGACTCCTGAGTTCTGAGATTACAGGCATACACCAACCATGCCAGGTCTAGAATGCTTTCTATTTCTTTCTTTTAAATTTTTTGGGGAGCACCAGGAATCAAACTCACGACCTCAGGCTTGCTAGGCAGGTACTGTGCCACTGAGCTATTTCCCTAGTCCCTCTCTCTTTTATGTAGCTCTCTTTTCATTCTTCCTTTAGGAGGAGGCTGGCATACCCCATGAATCAGTAGAAGACTTGTTTCATTTCAACGTTGGGGGCTGGCATTTCTCAGTTCCCAGAAGCAAACTTGCCCAGTTCCCAGACTCTTTGCTATGGAAAGAGGCTTCAGCATTGACCGCTTCAGAAAACCAGAGGCTGTTCATAGACAGAGATGGCTCCACATTTAGGCACGTGCACTATTACCTCTACACCTCTAAGCTCTCCTTCTCCAGTTGTGCAGAACTGAACTTGCTGTATGAGCAGGCACTGGGTTTGCAGCTGATGCCTTTGCTTCAGGTAAGATGTTCTTCTCTTCCAAAAGTAGTGATCAGAAACAGGTGTTCCCTTGCTAAATGTATTTTTTAATATATTGAGTCCTGAGATGATTCTGTTAATGGGCAAGTGTGGCAAATGAGCTAAAGTAATGAAAAAGCACTAGGAATGTATTTCTGTTGTAGAGCACTTACTGAACTGCTTGAGGCCGAAGGTTCAAGCCCCAGTATTGCAGGGCTGGGGGTAAGTATTTTGGTTATAAAACAGTGAACAGCATGCTGGTATTGTATATTCTTAAGAACGAATTTCATCCTGACTCTGCCCTATCTCAGCAAATACCATGGACCTGGAATTTTAGGTCCACTGAGAGAATGCCTTTAGCTCTTGAAAATCCTATTTTGAGCTGTTTCTTATTTTTGTCACTGAATTCTGAAGAGAGAAAACTTTAGAAATTGTAGAGTTTGAGGGGCTGGGGATTTAGCTCAGCGGCATAAGTGCCTGCCTTGCAAGCAGGCAGTCGTGAGTTTGATCCCTGGTACCCATAAAAATGAAAAAGACCAAACAAACAAACAAACAAACAAACAAAAAAAGCAATTGCAGAGTTTGCTAAAATCTGAAATATTTATCAATATTACCTCTTGATGGGTGTTGCGGAGCATGTCTGCAGCCCCAGCTCTTGTGGGACTTGAAACAGGAGAACTGTTTGAACACAGGAGTTGGAGATGACCCTGGGAAATTATAAATGAGATCCCCATCTCAAAATGAAAGAAAATATCTTCTCATTGTACTTGTTTAAGTATGCAACATTCACTTTTGGCAAAATTAAAGTTCTCCAGTCTGCAGAATGTTGCATTTGCCTTCAGGTCTTTTCTTCCCCCAAGAAACTTCTGCTTTTCTTATTTTAAGAGCTATAAGGGGGTGCTGGGGATTTAGCTCAGCGGCATAAGCACCTGCCTTGCAAGCAGGCAGTCGTGAGTTTGATCCCTGGTACCGATAAAAAGGAAAAAGACAAAACAAAACAAAAAAAAAAAAGCTGAAAGGACCTCTACTTATAAGTTATTATAATACCACCACAAAATTACCTTCTTAAGTTTTCTCCAAACCACAGAAATCATTTCTGTGGCTGATCCTGAATAGTTCATTGAATGAGAAATTTTTTAAACCAGATCTAAATATTATGATTGGAAAGATCACTGGCCATATTCCCATTAATTCCACTATGGAAACAAGGTATCGTTTATTCCATCTCCACAAGTGTTCACCCAACAAGCTCCAGTGTAGCTTTCCATACCACCAATTATGTTTCCCCAACAGCTCTCAGAAAAAATTGAGACGGACCACGTGTATCTGGGTCGTAAAGGAATAAGAACATTTCATAGTGTGTGTTTATGGTTGCTCTTTACTAAATAATTCAATGTTTTCTCTTAAAAGTGAGTGTATATTCAGAAATAAAAATCCCTTAACATACTCTAGGACAAGATGTATGGTTCTTCTGATTGTTTCCTAACTTCTCTCGAGTGAAGAAATGGATAACTATAATTGCTTATAAGGGGCTTTGAGGTCAATTAAATGGCCTGGCATTTCAGGAGTACTAATAACTCTATGCCAAGGCACCACTTTGTGGGGAAAGGTAGAGAATAACTTGCTTATTGCAGAAAATCAAAGAGATGAAGACAATTTTATTTTTATTTTTTATTTTAAAGGGAGTACAACAAAACAGTAAAAAGAAACAAACAAAACAGGGATAGAACAGTAGGAAATCCATAATTGTTACTATATTGCATATTGTTATCCTCTACATAGTTGCTCAGACTACTGGCCCTGGGCCTGCAAAGTCAATCAAACAACATAAATGTCAGGTTGCTTCTCTACTTCAGTTATCATCTCAGCCTGTGTCACAGCTGGTTGCTTACAAGTGGTGGTGGTGGGGACGGGAGGTGGAGGCAGCTTTCTTGCTGTTTCTCCCCATTTTGCAGGGCCGTTGCCCCTGCTTTTCTTATTTTTGCTGAGTCCTGAATTACCTCTCTTCATGAGTTTCAACTCTCAGTTCAGATCCTTCCTATGTCCATGGGACCCACCTCTCTCCTTCTCTTCCTCATGTTGCTGTATTCCAAGGCCTAGGCACCAAAAGTTGGAGAGGTTCTTTCTCTGCTGCTCACCACACTGCCTTTTCTCAGGAGTCTGAAGAACCATTTTAAAGAATACCAGCCTAGCCATGTGTGGTAGTTCATACCTGTAATCTCAGCCCCCTGCGAGGCTGAGGCAAGAGGATCACAAGTTTGAGCCTAGACTGGGCAATTTAGATACTTAACAAGACCCTGTCTCAAAATAACAAAAATAAAAAGACTGGGAAATGTAGCTCAGTGTGAAGGCCCTGGGTTCAATCCTCAGGAAAAAAAAAAGAAAATTAAAAAATATATATATATAATCAATCTAAACCTATTATGCAAACAGTTTATTAAATCCTTTAACCCTTTTGCTGACCTCTCTTTCCAAATTGAAACAAAATACATCTGAAAAACAAATTCAAAATGGGAGGCAATAACTCAGAAGCCAATGAGTTGTTCTGTTCCAAAATTTCATGATGTGTCAGCAGTAGAATTTGAAGAATTACAAGGATCTGCCTCCCTTAAACAGACTGTGAAACAAATATTTGGAAATGATGTTTTCAAATAAATAAACATTTGGACTGGCCCAGCTCAAGTGGTGTTTATTCACTGAAGCAAAGTGTAAATACAGCTGGGAACCAGCAGCTCTTCAAGCAAAGCAACAACCTCACACATTTCTACCACTTGTCTCACTTTGAAAGCCAATCCAGATACTCAGGTCTTTGCCTAAATGGACATTTTGCTTGGAGAAAATGTACTTTTTGCCAATTCTTAGTTTAAAGATCTTTCTTCGGCAACTCCACTTAATGCATTCAGTTAGGATTTATTGAAAGCATTCTGGGTTCTAGGCATTATTTCTATGAGTTTTAGGGAAAATGGGATGATACAATAAAAATATAATGTGATCCATGTACATAAGTGATTATATATATATATATTTTTTTTTTTTTCAACGAAGCCTTACTTTGTCATGCAGGCTGGAACTCCTGGACCAAAGAAATCCTACTGGCTTAGCCTCCAGAGTAGTTAGGACCACAGGTATACACCACCCTTCCAGATTCTCATGTGTTATTTAAAATTTCTCTATTACCCATAATTTTAATCAGTAAAAATCAATAGGTGATATTAATTTTAATATTTTATTTAATCCAATATTTTCAAAATATTAGCTCAGTGTGGAATCAGTACTTAAAATTGATAGTTTATATTCCTTTTTTGCACTAAATCTTCACAATCTGAAATGTGTGTTATATTTATAGCACATCTCAGATCCTAAAATTCAAGGGGTAGCCATATGTGACCAATGGCCACCACATTAGACAGAACATATCCAACCTGCTCTAAGCTGTTAGTGTTCCTCACTGTAGGGTCCTTCAGATTTAACCCCTAAGGATAAAAGTAGGACTTTACCTCTTGCTAACCAAAGTTTATGTGTACTTACCAGATCATATATCTTATTCAGGTTATCTGTAACATGGTAAGCTTTGTTGGAAAGTAGTATAGAATGAGCCAACAGGTAGAACAAGATGGGAAGCTTCTGCAGGCTGGGCCCCTGTACCCCCACTGCTGCTCTGCTGCCCCCCCTCACATCCCTGCTCCTTATCTCTCCCATTCCCACTCCACAGCCCACCCCAACCCCTTTTTCTCTATCTTGTAGCTTTGGCCTCCAAAGGGGTCACTTGGAGTCTATTATTGTCTTGATTCTGATTTTTGCTTTAGTTTTTTTTCCACTGAGGCATTTTATTTGCACGTTTTACATTCCTAGAAAAAGATCCCAGGGTTTTCCCTCCTATGTGTTTTCATCATGCTTACTCATGGTCCATGATACAAACTGAGGTGGTCAATACAATGAAACCAAACTGACAGGATGGGAGCAGAGAGTCAGAGATTTAGCTTAGCAGCGTTTGCCAGCATTGTGCACCATTACGGCAGCACCATCTTTGGTGGAAAGATGCTTTGTTTTTTAAACAGGCTCTCTTTATGTAGTTCAGGCTGCCTTGAACTCACTATGTAGCCGAGGCTAGCTTGAACTGAAAGCCATCCTCCTGAGGATCCAAGGTTCACTGCAGGATTACAAGGCATACTCTACCACTCCTGGCTTTTGACTCTGATTGTAACAGTGTGTATTGAGCACCAAACCACACAAAATTCTGGAGATCCAATAGCCATTCAATATCAGGTAGAGATAAGTGCCACAAAGAATAGGACAATGAAATATTATGCTACATGAAAGAAGTCACATAGTTCTATATAAAACAGACACAAATGACCACATATACAGAATAGGCAGATTTATAGAGATGAAAGGTAGGCTAGTGGCTGTTGATTGCTGGGGTGCAGATTAGGAAGGGTAGATGAATGAGAACCAGCAATGACTATTAAGGGTACAGGGTTTCTTTCTGGAGAATTGAAATAGATTGGGATGATGATTGAACAACTCTGTACTAAAAACCAATGAAATTACACTTTATAGTTTATAGTATGTGAAAAACAGTTGAAAAAAGATTGATGGGTGCTGGCTTGATATTAGCTCAGGGATCTTCAGACTAGCCCATGGATCAAATCCAGCTTACCTCCTTTTTTGTGTAGAGTCCATCAGCTAAGAATAGTTTTTACAGGCTGAAGATTTACTTCAGCAGTATAATAAGAGTAACATATTGTGGCATGTAAGAATTATATAAAATTAAATTTTTAGTGTCCATAGATGCAAAGGAAGTACATCCATGCTTATTTATGTATTGTCTGTGGCTACTGTGAGCTACAACACAGAGCTATTTGATTTGACAGAGGCCGTAGCAAAGCCTATAATATTTAGCATCTGGCCTTTTATAGAAAGAATGCACTGGTTCCTGGCCTAGACATTATAGGGGCAAGGGAAGAAGCAGGAAGACCAGGCTCCTACAGCATCCAGGTAAA